TATATATATATATATATATATATATATATATATATATATATATATATATAATTTAAGATTAGGATAATGAATAATAGATAATAGATATGTTTTTAACAAAAAACACAAATTTTAAAGTGTTTCAAAAGTACATAGTTCGTGTTTTCAATAAAGGAAAGTTGAGCTTGGAAGATATACAGGATGTGTTTGGGGTTACTTTTTAAACTTAAAAGGTTTTTCTTTTTATAAAATGACTTTTTCTAAAAAAAAACTCTTTCTAAAACAATGTTTTTAAAACGTGTTTGACTTGGATTTTAAGGATTTTAAGTGGAAAAAGCCAAAAGTCACAATATACATGATTTTCATGATTTTTGAAAAACTATTCTTTTTTATCAAAAAGTTGTTTTAAAAAGAACTTTTATACTTACCAAACATCTTTCGGACATTTTTTAGTTTTTGGAAAAATTAAAAGTCCAAAGGTCATTTTAATAGTAATGCCAAAACACCCTTGTATTTTCAATTTTCAGTTTGGAACTTTAAGAAAATAATAAACACTAACATAGTATATTATACGATTAACTTAAACATCTCTTTAAATATAAAATTAAATGGGAATTTCAGTAATTATGAATAACGTTTTTTTTTTAAATTAATCATCTTTTTTTAGTTTTTGAAAAATAACAATTTTCTTCAGAATACATTATTTTGAATAATTTTTTTTTTTTGTTTTTTTTTGTATTCTGAATATTACAATTCCTAATGTTTAATTTCACCGTTTTTCAATAAAATATCTAATTTTATATACCAATATCGCATATAGTTCATATTATTATGTTTGTTTAATTTGTTGTCAAATTAAGAAAAAAAATGATTTTTTTTCTTGAACTCCGGAATCATTTTTCGGATTTCTGACTTATTTTTAAAATTTCTTAGATTTTTTTTTTCAAAATATAAAATTTTAGTCCAAAATCGGGAATGTTGGTCCGGAATCCGGGGCGCCGTTCCGGAATGAGTCGAGAAAGACGTTTTTTCTTGGTCTGGAATCTCCATTCTGGACAAAATGGTTATTTTTATTAAATTTTTTTTTTGATTTATCTTCAAATACACGTTAAAAAAATGGTTAAATTTCTTAATTTCCCAAATTAGAATGTATATTTCGTAAATAAAGTTGATTTCAAATATGTTCTAAATTTTAAATGGTCTTTTTGGAAAACATTCGTGTTTTGATATACTTATTGACTATTAGTAATAATTTGAAGATATTTTAAGATTGTTTGAGGTACTTTAGTTTTATTAACTTTGTTAAATGCAATGATTAACAACAAACGTTGGCAAGATTTCTATTTTGGTTATTTAAGTTGGACAAAGTTGGTTGAGAGTTTTAATCATAAAATTGTAAAGAATGAAAACTAACTTAGTTAATACTATATAATAGATGGAAAACTTTTTAAAATAATCAAGACTTTTCTCTATAATTTTCAAGCTTAGGTGAGCAAATTAAATGGGGTTTTTCGCAAAACTAGTTGGATCCATATTGAAAGAAAAGCCACCAAATATAGGATTTATGGGTGTTATTATATGTACTCACTCACTTACATAAATCGTCACATCATTAGGGTATACAAATACTACTACACTCATAATGAGAGTACACAAGGTAATCGAAGGGGGTACGAATTAAATTTACCTTTTTATAATCTTGTTTTAGGTAGTTTTGCTATAAATATTTGTGTACTTATTCTTTTAATTCTATATATTTAAAAAAAAATAAAAATAAATAACTACTAAAAAAGTAACGTCCTTCGAAAATGCTCACATCAATGATGAAACCATACATAGTTTTCTTATTTTGATGATGTAAAATATTTAATTTAATTTTTTATTCTTAATTTAATTTAGTTTATGTGTACAGCTCCGAAGAGACAATTATAGTTTTAATCAGTGGTTCTTCCATTTTCTTTCTTCATAAGATCAACAAATGAAGGTGTTTTTAATGTCCCTAATTTCAAAAGAAATTTGGATTCAGATCAAAACTCAAAAAAATGAACATAATGTAATTATAAAGCCAAAGCATGTAACTCGCTAAACAAGTCATTTTCATATAAGTGAAACTAAATCTCAACAATATAAGAAGGGATCACATATAAGTTATCTTATAACAACATTATCCTAAAAATCAGTTATAAAGCCAAAGCATGAACATAATCCAAGATCCAGTGAGGGATTTTAAAGAACTTTTTGGACTTGGTTACTTTAGAACAACATTATCCTAAAAATCAGTTATAACCTTTTGGAAATGTAATTTTTCTATATTATTAACTTGATCTTAACTTGCTAGGGATGTGATGGTTCTGTGTTGCTTGACGGTTCCGCGAGCGGACCAAGCGAGAAGGATGCACCACCCAACTTATCCTTGCGAGCACAAGCATTCGTGATCATAGAAAATCTTCGTAGACTCGTCCACAATGCTTGCAACCGCATAGTCTCTTGTTCGGATCTGACTGCCCTTGCTGCTCGTGATGCGGTATTTTTGGTATAAAATATCGACCCTAGTGAGCACATTTTTTAAAAATTTGTTACTTTCTCATTAAAAAAATTTATTAATTTGATTATTTACTTAATGATACAGTCAGGTGGTCCCAACTATAGCATACCGTTGGGCAGACGTGACGGAACTACCTTTGCCACTAGAAATGTTACTCTAGCCAACCTTCCACCACCCACGGCCAACACGACCACAATATTAAATTCCCTTTCCACGAAAGGGTTCACTCCCACTGATGTTGTGGCCCTATCCGGTGGCCACACCATCGGGATAGCCCACTGCACCTCTTTCACCCCTCGGCTCTTCCCAACACGAGATCCAACAATGGACCAAACCTTTTTCAATAATCTAAGATTAACATGCCCAACAAATGTAACCGACAACACCACTTTCATGGACATTCGGTCCCCAAATGTGTTCGATAATAGGTATTACGTTGACCTCATGAATCGTCAAGGGCTTTTCACATCAGACCAAGACTTGTATACGGATAGCAGGACTCGAGGCATCGTCACAAACTATGCGATCAACCAAACCTTGTTTTTCCGTGACTTTGTGAATGCAATGATAAAGATGGGACAATTAAGTGTATTGACAGGCACACAAGGGCAAATTCGTACAAATTGCTCACGTGTAAACTCAAACAACCTGTTTATATTGTCGGGCATGGAAAACAATGAGGACGAGAAGTTGGCATCATATTAGGAGTGATTTTGTGTTTACAAATCTATGTCCAAATAAAATGCAATATCACTTGCAATAATGTGGTTTTATAGTGTTTGTATACATATAATGTTGTAACATATACTACGATTGTGATAATTACCTTATCTATAAACAATGTATTACGTGTTTTTTTAGGGGTGTGAGTCAATGACACAGTATAATAAAAATATATACGACAATAAAAAAAATTGTGACGTAATTGAAATTCAAATTTGTGTTCGTGTCTATTCTGAAAAATATGACGTTGTGTAGTGTTCGTGTTAAAAAAACTAACATCATATTAACATGTGTTTCATGTGTGTCATGTTTTGCTTGATTAATTATAAATAAGATAAACTAATTGTTATTTTGTTTAATCTTTTTTGTTTTTATCGTGTTTCATTTAGGCCACTTTCATTTAGTAAACAAAACACAAAATTGTGCCACGACTTGTAACATACACGTTTTGAGATCGTGTTTTATATAAATAATATTATGAAATATTATGTGATATTGAGT